ATATGAATGTTGGATCAAGCATACATTTATGTCAGCCCGATTTATTATATACTTCATCTAAAATTTGCAATTTTTAAAATCTGTTCTATTTAAGTGAAAATAAATGTTCTTAAATTTCCCTCTATATTTCAAATCGATCTCCGGAAAGATAAGCATTAAGTCTTTTACAGCTTACAATACAGTTTGCTAGTCTTTGTCTTTGCTTGAGATCAGATAGATCAATGAATGATCTGTATTCCCAAGTCCAGATGGACTTTATAATGGTTTTGAAACTTCAGCAAGATTTGATGCCGAATAAAAACAGCATTTTTTCGAAATTACAAATATTTTGTTGGTTTCGCGATCGTCTACTCCAAAGTTGCAATAATTGTTTGTTGTATATATCACTGATCTGTTGGCAGGACACTGTAGATTGTAATATTGAGAAAGAATACAGAAAGCATCTCAGAGCAGAAGACGTGCACTTCTAAACTGAAAAGACATGGAAACCCTCAACCCAAGAAAGATTCTCCAATTCGCAATAGATTGCAACAGGTTGCAGTGCATGAAGTCTCCCAATAATAATAATAATAATAATAATAATAATAATAATAATAATAATACTAATAATACTACTAATAATAATAATAATAATCATCATCATCATCATCAGCATAAATTTGCAATTTTTTCTAGCAGCTTTTTTTCAAGCTAAATGTGGCAACACTGGTGCAGCAAGGACAGCAAGGCAGCGATCGCGTTTGTTGTTGTTGCTGTTGCTGTTTATATTATTTCTGGTCTTCTTCTCTTGTGTTATTTTTCAATTTCGTTTCTGAGTGTTTCACTCTCTCTCTCTCTCTCTCTCTCTTCCTCTCCCTCTCTCTTTCGTTGTCTTCCCCCTGCCGTTTTTCTATGTCAAATTATTGTAATTTATTATTGCATGCCAAGTTAATGAGTCCTGTGTGCGTGCTCTCTCTCTCTCTCACACTCTGACTCTCTCATGGCTGTCTCATGGCCAACTGCTGCAAGAACAATGAAAATCGAAAATTGTTGTTCGAAAACCCAAAGGAGCGGGAGAAGAAGAAGAGCAGAAGCAGAACAAAGATATTTCAGTGCACACCTTCCTGCATTTGTAATCCAGTGGAAAATCAAGAAAAATAATGCGTCAAGCGACAGTCAGGTAGAAAAAAACTGTTCAATGTTCATTTTCTTTCGATTGCCTTTTCTTGCGACTACCACTGTGTGTGTGTGTGTGCGTCTGCTTTGATTGAGCAAAGTTGTTTTCCGATTGCGCTCGCCTACGAAATAGAAAGCTAATTAAATTGAGGTTGGTCAAGGAAAAGAACGAAGATCAAACGAAGAAAAAAAACAAAGAAAAATCGATGTAAGTACAGTGGTAACTGGCGAGCCGAACTGGCACTTACACAAATTATAATCGTCATTTTTTATTCATCTTGTCCTATCTTGAATACTTTTACAAAAAGAGAGAGTACAATTTGACTGCATAGCTAATGCTAATTATCCATTTTCAATCTTTTTCTTGTTAACAACATCAAAATCTCATTCAAGTTGTTTCAATAACTGTGGTTAAAAAAGGCTTCAAATGGCGAACAATCGCTAACGTTTATAGCAGAAAGCTTTTGACACATTGCAGATCTGCATTTGCCATTCGTCTCCACTTTCTCCACTCTCCCGCTAAAACTCTCACATTCGTCAGCTAATTGAACTGCCCGCCAGGGGGCGCTTATTGGGAGGCATATGTTTGTATTTACCTCCCCTGGCTCCTCTTCAACAGCATCCCGTTCAGGGAAAACCATCCGTTGAAAGGGAAAACCTTTTAAAGCGCTTTGCTCTGTAAGCAGCGCCTAAAAGCAGCTTACACTTACACTTACCCACACACACACACTCACTCACACACACACACACACGCACGCAGTTGGCAAACAACGCAAAACGGATGAAAAATTTTTGCATAGCAAAACGGCAAAATCAAAAGCAAAAACGCAGATGCCCCAGAGAGAAGTTGTATTTTTTTCTTTACTTTTTTTGTCTTGCCCTTTCGATGAAAACAGCGCCCCGAGGCAAGAAGCTTGATATGCTGCCCCCAGCCCACCACGCCCCTCTCTAGACGCCCTGACTTCAGCATATAATCACATAACTTTTCATTGTGCGTGTAATTCGTGTGTGTGTGTCTATGTGTGTGTGTGCGTGTGTGTGTGTGTGTGAGTGTGTATGCATGTGACAATTGTTATGTGTGGGTGTGAAAACTACTAGAATTTGATTACAAAAAAAAAACGTCGACGTTTTTTGTTGCCGAGTAGAAATTGGTATAGATTTAGTAGACATGAGAAATGCGCTGCAAGTAAGTAATGATCTCATTCGTTATATTACAACAGCTTACACTCTCTACACCGGACATTCTCTCCACTGCACTTTACTACCTATGTGCATCACAGATGTATGTAAGTGTAGAGTGCCCGACAATTGTCTACAGACAGTGGAGACAAACCAACAAACAATCTCCTTCAGTCTCTCTACATAACTATACTCAACTCTACACCACATCGCATCTGGTCTTCAACTTTACACAACTCGTCAGTGCTATGAAAAGTCTCCACTCAGCTTTACACTACAACTGTTTTGTCCTTAAAATCGTTTGATGCCTAATTTACACTTGAACACTACTCGATATAACTCTACACTACTCTCCGAATGCAGTAGACAACATCAGCTTTGACACCCCCCACCCCACTGCCCTTGACCAATTGACCACACAAATGACCATTGCTCAACCATGATTTATGCCCATCTTCGTGTGTAGAGTGAAACAACAACAATAACAACAACAACAACGATAACAACAAGAAGTGGAATCGCATATTGATCCAATACAATAGTATATGTAAATTTTTCAAAGATTAAATATATTTACATACATCTACACAACAAGACCTTGAAAGCGGCTTAGTCGAGCACCGCCCAACCCCAACTCTCCACCCACTGTCAGCGACAGGCAGAGAGTCCACATCCTGCTTGCCTCATGCTGTGCATGTGTGTGTGTGTGTGTGTCCAGGAACTCTGCTTCTGTTTGAATAAAACGCATTTTTCAAACCATGAGCTAAAAATGCCAATGTTGGCATAAATATGTGTGTGTGTGTGTGTGCATGAATAATGTACATATGTGTATGTATGCTTAAATATATATAAACAAATACAATTTACATATGGACATGTGTGTGTGTGTGTGTGTGTGTCTCTGCCTGTGTGTGTGTGTGTGTGTTATGTGCTGTCGCTGAAGGCGTTTTGGGCAGTTGGCAAACAGAAGCTGTTTTGGCGAGAGCCCGAGGGCTCAGTGCCAGTCAAACGCCTACCCTCCTCCTCCCCTCCCCATTCTACCAATCTTACCCCTCTCCATGCCACAACTACCCCACTACCTGCTAGGAAAAGCCCCCAACCCTATGCCAATATTGAAACTTTCAACTATACACACTCACCCATACGCCATACGCATATAGTACAGTGCTCTCCCGATTTGATGTTCATATACGTGTTATATTTCTATATTCTTGATCAGCATCAATATTCGAATCGATTTACTCTTAAATCCAAATTGGCGCAACTTCAAATGTATTCTTATTTTGAATGTCTTATGTCGATTTGACTGAGTTCTCCTCTTCTGTTGTATGTAGCAATTTGCGAGAAAGCACTGTACTCTCCAAATTTGTGTGTGGACCACTTTCATTTTTCACCCACACAAACACACACACACAACACATCAACACACACACACACACAAGTCGTGGCCAACTGCCTGGCTGGTTGGGCTGACTGGCTGGCTGGCTGGCTGGCCTCATGGTCGAGACGATAAAAAAGCTTAGGCTTATGCTTTCGCACATTTTAAGCCAACCCACCACTGCCCACTCTTCAGTACGCCCAAAGCCACCCACAGCTGCAGAGGAGCATAAGGAAAGTCTACTGCAAAGCATGCGTAATTTTCAAGGGGTGCAGGCTATGGGGGAATCTCCGTTCGAAGGGGGTAGGCAAGTAGTACATATACATAAATATACATGCACAGTTTACATACATGGCGGGGAGCACATGTGTCCATGACGTACCACCCATCCATAACGCCATCCACCTCCACCATTGGCACAGCCTGCGGCTAAGCTGTCCAGCAAAGAATTGCGTTTTGATTTTGCATTGGACGACTTGTGCCCGAAAATACAATTTATACGCTATTTGAAATGTAACGCACGCGTGCGTGTGTGTGTGTGTGTGTGTGTAGCTGATTTGATTTCAACTTAAATACATACATGTATTATTTTAAGCAATCAATTTTAAGCTTTAAGTTTTGTTGGTCTAAAAAGAGGCCATAAATAACGGCCAACTTCCAAACCAAATTCACTGGACAAATTTTAATACTCTGTACATACATACATTTAAAGGGTATTTGTATTTAAAAATACCTGTTTGGTAATTAATCGTTTAGCTGAGCAACACGTTTTGCCTTTGACCCTGCTAGGCTTTGTTTGTTTACGATTTATCAAAACCAGAAGGGTTCTTTACCAAATCAATCATTCAAAATTAGCGCGCTGCATCCAGAACATATGTTCGTAGCGCTGCCAACAACATTTACGTTATCAGTGCTGCCAATAAACCATGTGTTAACAGTGCTGCCAATCTATACTTGTATGTGTGCTACTTATCGATAAGCTGAGCAATTCAAAGTTGGCGCGCTGCAGCCAAAACAAATAAAATGTGAGCAGCGCTGCCAACTTGCGCATGAGCCAACTACTTATCGATAATTGTTGGCTTGTTTCGCGTTGACGGCACTTACCTCAGCGCAAACTAAGCATAATAATAATAATAATAATAAATAGACTAACATGATTCATTTAGCTCGGCACTTCACACTTTGGAAATGACTGCTTTAAAATAGAAAATACAATCAAAACTGTTCAATTGAACTAGTTCCGTTATCGATACACAGCTCGCATGAAGTGTCAAACAAAGTTCGAATAAAAAGCCGCGCTGCAAACAAAAGAGCAAACCTCGACTAAACTTGTGCAATTCATAAAACTAATAAATATATAAATCGTGTGAACACAATGTCCACGCTACAAGCTCACGACAGTGGCAGCACAAGCCACAACAGCAATAACAACAACATCAGCAGCAACAACAACAACCAGAATGGCGACTCAGCGTTGGCGCAACAGGATGCGGCACTGACGCAAGCAATTAGGTATGTGCGCGAGTTCAGCATCCAGGTGAAGGCCTATCAACAGCTCAAATCGGAGGAGTCGCTGCTGCACCTGCAGCGCAGTATTGCCCTGCTCGGCACAAAAGTGCCGCCGCATTGTTATGCTGCCGGCAATTTGGAGCTGGCTAAATTCTTTGTGGAGCTGCACGCGCTGATGAGCGGCCTGGACGATGGCGATGGCGATGCAATGTGGAGCTGTGTGTCGCTGCTGCAGCACTGCAGCCGCAACTTGGAGGCACGCACCGCCATTGTGCAGCAACATTGCTTTGTGCCCCTGCTGAGCTACCTGCTGAAGCGGACAAAGCGCGAGGAGCGTGTGCAGCGCTTGCTGCTCCTGCTCCAAGATCTCACGTATGGCATACGCATCGGCTGGGAGGAGCCGTATCTGGTGGTGCTGCTCGAGCAGCTCGTCGAGCTCGTGCACAGCGCCGACGACGATGACGACGAGGAGTCTGACGATCCCAATTTGAGGCGGGCAAAGCTGTCGCTCTCGATTCTGGTCAATGTGTGCTACAAGAACTTTGTGGTGCTGTTCCTCTTTCTGCGCAGCGTGAACATCTCCAGTTTCAGTCGCCGCATCCAAAACTATGGCCTGCTGGCGTACAAGATGCTCATCATTCTGTCCGAGGATGTGCATAGCTTGGAGCAGCGGGAGCTGCACACATTTCTGCGCACCGCCTTTGCCGGCATCGAGGATTGCCTGAGGCAGTGGGATGTCCCACAGCTGCGGCACATTGTCGATCTGCTGCTGGATGCCCAATGCCATGCGGGACTGCAGCGTGCCATGCTCAGCTATGGTCACTACTGCGAGGATATCGAACGGTTGCTGAATGTAAGTAACCTCCTCCTCTTCCTCCTGCTACTCCCCCGTCCATTCACGAACGAAGCTTGTTCCTTTGCAGCAAATTGATGCACGCCACGAGATGGATGACGCCACTGAGGATGTGCGCAAGCATCAGCAGTGCTGCTTGCAGTTAATCTTCAAGCTGATCGCGCATGTGCTGCAGCTGTCGGACACCCACAATGCGATTAGCTTAGACGCAATCACGCCGAGACTGTATGAGCTCCTCTGCGACTGGCTGGAGTCCGATTTGTGCGGCGTGGCTGCCATCGAACTGTTGTCGTCGCTGCTGCAACGCGGCAAGCAGTCGGCTGTCGCCCAGCTGATCGCACGCGATGCCAACACCAACGTCTTCAAGTTGGTCAGCAGCGCCGAACGCAGCGAGACGAAGCCGATCCAAGTGACGGCCATACTCCGATTGCTGCTCAGCCTGTTGCGCGATCCGAAAACGGAGAAACTGGTCCTATCCAAAATATCCGAGTCGTATTTCGATAAGATACTAGCCGCACCGCTTGCATTGCTGCCCCAAATGCTCAGCGGTCAGACGCTCGTCGCCGCCGAAGTGGAGAAGGTCGTCTACTGTCTGCTGCTGCTGCTCAACTTTGCCAGCATCGCGAAGAAAGCCTATCTGGACAAGTGCTGCGCCATGCTCGATCTGCCCCAGCTGCAATACGCCCTAGCCCGCGCCATGCTCAGCGGCAACGAGCAGCTAGTCGCCGCCATGCTCCAAATAGCACAATTCGAACAGTTTCCCAAGGCAGCCGTTGCAAAGGTAACCTCCTGCTCATCTCTGTCTATCCATTAAAACCATACATATATATTTCAGATCAGCATCAACTGTCTGTCTGTTTGTCTGTCTGATCAAGTTTCTTTCTGATAACTGCGCCCGTTTCGCGACTATCGATACAAATCGATTTCCGATAGCAAAAAAACACAATTGTAAAGCGCCTGTCAATCGATATAGACCAGACATATTATTGATCAACTGCAAATAATTTCAGTAGGACCAGAGACTATAAGAGCTACAAAATACAACTTCTCGTAGATCACCAGTTCATTTGATCGATAACAAATCGATAGCTGATAGCAAAAAAACCACACTTATTAAGATATAGTCTTGCACTTGTTGTAATATTATACCTTGCAGTGTTATTGATCAATTGTGTATATGAACCGCAGACTTTGTTAACCGAAATCTATTTTCAAATTAAACAAGCAACAACAGAGTATCTCCTAGTCGTGCTCGCCCAACTGGAGCATTCTTACTTATCATCTTATATACTATGTACTGCTATATACCTATGGATAATCCTATCCAGGTCTAGAGACCTTAAAGGTTGTCAAATATGATTGGCCGATTCTTATTTTATATTGATGATTTTCGAGCGCATTTTTTTTCTACTCTTCTTTGCGCAGCATTCTTAAACGTTGCGCCATTGTCTGATTTTGATGATGAGCTGAGTGGAAATGTTAAGTTAATTTTTAGGCAGCCACTTGTATCCACATGTGACTACTAAATCCATCTCTTCTATTTTACGCTTGCAGTACGTGTCCAAAATATGCAACAATACAATTGCCACACCGAGCAGCAACATCGAGTCGGATCCTTCGGAACAGTGGCGCAATTTGAGCGCCATCCTGAAGGGTCATCACACGTTCATCGACAAGGAGCTGGGACAGCGGGTGAATGCGTTGATTGAGAGCATTGGGGCAACGCTGGAAAGGAATGAGCTGCAGGCGCTGCCTGTGTCACAGGTGATCGAGTTGTACAACCATCGGATCGATAGCCTCGGCTGTCAGTTGCATCAAATGGAACAGCGGCTGGAGCAGGCCAGCGTTCAGCTGACCAAGAGCAGCCAGCTGACCCATGTGCAGAGTGCCCAACTCGAACGCTTCCAGAGCAACAACTTTGAGCTGCTCATCAGCCAGGAGCGGTGCGTAAATATATTCAAATTTCGTGAGACATTTTTTAATCAATCGATATCGATATTGAGCAGGCTGCAGACACAGTGCAAGGATCTCAAGGCGCAGGCGGGACAGCTGAAAACGAATCTGAGCGATTTGCTCAAGCGTTGGTCAGAAACATCGGATCAGCTGCAGGCCACCGAACGCCGTCTCGCCGTCAAACAATCGGAGATTGGCCATCTGCAAGAGGAGAACGAGGAGCTGCGCAGCAATCTTAGCGCCAAAAGCGAAGAGCTATCGAAACTGGAAGCGCTTAGCAAGGACAATGTAAGCCACATTCGAAATCAAAAACCAAATCAGACCTACAAGACTCACCAATACATATGCATATTCGTTTCTCGCAGTGCAAACGCATCGATAAGCTGAAGAAAACGGTGATTGCCTATGAGCAGGACATCAAGGAGAAGGTGCGCACCATTGAGGAGCGCACCGTGGAGCTGGCCAAAACGCACAAGGCGCTCGAGGAGCAGCGAGAGGGGCGCAAAAAGTGCGAGGATCTTGTCAGTGTGCTGGAAACGCAACTGCAGGAGAAGAAAGAGCAGATCGAACATCTCGAAATGGAGCAAAAGGAAACGGAAGATTTGCGCAAAACAATCATGAGCCTCATGGAAAGCAAAAAGCCGAAACGTAAACCTTAATTCAAAATTGATTTCTTCTTTTTTTTTTTATTTGTACATATCGACAATTACATTTAGTTATTTATAGTTTATCAGAAGTATTATAATTCGGCTCTCGAAAATGATTTCAATTTGCATTTGTATTTGCGCCATGCAACCTCGACCAGTCTCCTTCGTTTGCCAACAGATGGCGCTTTGCATGTTACAGATTTTTGAATAAGCCATTAAACGTATTCAAAGTAAAATTTAAAAATAATAATAATGCACTCACACGCAGCAGCAGCACCAGCAGCAGCAACAACGTAAATAATGCTCCAACAAATAAATCATTTGTTAATCACTTTACACAGAACCCTTTCATTTCACCTTGCATTTTGTGGAGAGAGCGGAGTGCATATAAAACTCTCATTTTCTGTGATGGTTTATTGCTTGTCAAAGTCACCCTCACCCTTTGGCGTTAAAGATCAGAGTTTGGTTTGTGTTTTATATATAGATATACATACATATATATATATCTATATGTATATACATTTTATTTGCAAATTGCACTAACAAGCATTAACTAAACAATACAATGTAATTGATGTTGTTTGGTGTTTGTTGTGCAGTTAAATGATACAATTCCATTACAAATACCAATTTAACCGAATGTAAAAAAAATATATATAGAGAAAAATAAATGGATGTTCGACAGATAATATATATTTTATATATATATATATATATATTAAATACAAATTACAAAACTTTGCATGTACATGGGCGAGGGGGAATCGTGTGTGTGTGTGTGTGTAAATTTACTAAATGTTTGCTAAATAGTTTAAACTGATTATTGCTTAATTAACTAACACCAGCTCTGCGACTCAAAAAAAAAATAAAACTCGTAAAAAGATCAAATCAGGAAGTGATATAAAATAGAAGAAAATATTACAAAAGTCATACAAAACAAAACAAAAAATAGGAATGAATGCTATTCAACAACAAGCACAATATATATATATATATTTATATATATATACATTCGGGCAGGAGTAGAAGACAAAGGGAAAGGTGAAAGCAGTTTGGGGGAAGTTCATGTTGAGTTTTTATGAATACCAACAGCAAAAGTGATAGGAACTAATGACTAAAAGCTAAGCGCTATGACACTAAATATATTCATTTGTTTGGGTAAAGGTATCAAAAGTTCCACTTATTGTGTGTGTTTGTGAGCGTGTGTGTGTGTGTATTGGCTGAGGGGAAGATGGAGACTGAGATGGACGCATGGGATGGGAGGTAGGGAAACGGTATGTGTGCGTTGTGCTCGGGTTTGTTCGTGTGTTTTTACGATCCAAAGTGCTCCTTGTCCTGATCGATGGTGGCAAATTCATATTTGCCACGGCCATCAAACTGTAAATAGTAATCGTGGTGCACCCAAAGCGACTTGCGATGCGATACGGTAAATAGCGTAATGCCCGCCTCCCGACAATAACTGTACATCTTGCCCTCAACATCAACGGATACGGCACTGGTGCACTCATCGAGAATCGCAAACTGCGGCTTGTGATAGAAGAGTCGGGCCATCGCAATGCGCTGCTTCTCGCCGCCGGACAGCACATCGATCCAATCCTCGATGGCATCGAGTCCATTCTCCCGCTGCTCCAGATACGTTAGCTGCACAATGTCCAAGAAGTGCAAGAGATCCTCATCCGATTTGCCCAAGCGACGCATATCGTCGCGTGTATGCGGATAAATAATCTGACAGAGAGAGTGAGAGAGAGAGAGAGAGAGAGAGATATCAATATATGAGTGAGCGAGAGCATAACTTAAAGTTAGAGACTTAAACATTGGATTGGTTCTTGAAGAAGACGTACGTATAGCAATAGTGTTTAAGAGAGGAAAGTACAAGCTAGATAGAGAGAGACTTTGAACAATTTGCCAGATAAATGCGATCAGCTGCCAGATAATCTGAAATGCCAGAGAGATGTGGCAACGTTGCCAGTCATAATTTGAATGGCAAACTGAATGCAGAACAGAAAATACAAATTTTACAAAGTTGCAGTTCAAAACATATACAACTAAATATGGTCTGTATTATACATGTATGTAGCTATGTATTCAAAATATTCAAATGCTTGTTATATTTACTAGAATGAAAAGAATGAACAGAAAGTTACAGAAAATCCAACAATTCTCTATCTCTCTCTGGGAAATCCATTTGTAATCCAATTAATAATAATTATTTTCATATTACAACAAATAATTGAACTAATGTTCAGTTACCAGATGGTGTAAACAGACTAGCCAGCCTATTGCCACCAAGAATTCAAATATATGGCAGATCGGCCCTTAGGCTTGAGACTTACCTGATCACGAAGGCTGCCTAGCGTCATGTACGGACGCTGTGGAATGTAGAAGAGTTTGCCACGCGATGGTTTCGTCACCTTGCCACCCCAGGTGGGCCACAGTTCGCCCAGGATGCGAAACAGTGAGGATTTGCCACAGCCATTGGGACCACAGACGAGAACATTGGTGCCCGATCTAATCACGAAACAATAGATATATATATAGATATAGATATAGAGAGGTGAGCTGGCGAGCTTGACTTACTTCACTTCAAAGGTCAGCTCCCGGAGCAGCACATCGCCATTGGGCGTGACCAGTGGCACCGCCTCGAACCGTATAATATTGTCCTCGAAGCACATGATGCCCTTGTTGGGACCAAAGGTATTTGGCGTTGAAGCGGACCCGTCACCATTATGCGCAATGCTATTCCCATTGACCATGGTGCGCTCGTAGGTGCCCTTATTGAGATCACCCAGCACCTTGATCAACTCCGTCATGCGTGCCGTAAAGCCGGCCAGGCGTGACATCTCCCTGCCAGCCAATACCAGACGACCAATGGCCTCCGCCAGCTTGATCAGCATCCGTCCGTATGTGTAATAGGCCTGCAGACGCTGTCCGCTCTTCTCGCCGGACAACAGCGGATGATTCTCCGTGAAGAAGGGTATCGACACCGCATAGAAGCCAACAATCGATGCAAAGTCTGCAAGCCAAAAAAACCAAACGAATCAAATCAATAGTCATAAGCCATAAGACATATGTCAAGTGATTCCTTCAAGTGTCGCCACTCACATTTGCCAATGATGTTGTCGATGATGCCCATGCTGACGCGGAACTCGAGGAACTTGCGGAGATGGGAGCGCAGCTTGGAGAAGCTGGCGAGCAGCGTTAGCTTCTCGCGGACATTGCCCTGATAGAAGGCGACCTCCTCCGAGTTGGTGATCAGCCTGCTATTCACATAGCGGAACTCGCCCTCCAGCTTCTGCTCCTCGACGGTCAGGCGACCGGTGGGACGACGGAGTCGTGTCAGAAATATGCCAGCAAACAGCAGATAGAGCATCAGTATGGATGGCGTTTTGCCACCCAGATTCACAGTTAACCGATACACATAGATGAATATGTCCAGCACCGGTTTACTGATGTTCGAATACAGATCCGTTGCGCTCTCACAGAACTTATCAATGTCTGTTGTCAGCAGCTGATCGGCGTTCGCTATCCGATTATCCAGATTGGACATTTTATAGTATGTGTAGCCACTGCAAGTGAATCAGATTATACATATCAGTCTATATATCACTTAGAAGTATACATTTTGAAGCTCAAAACAATTCAATACGACTCTTATCGAAAACAGATTCAATGGAATGAGATACATAATAGGACTTTAAGCGAGTGGAGATCTCTGCATAGCAAATATTGTGATAGGACTAAAGGGTCTACACGCATTGACAGCTATAAATGTACATATATCCCAGATAAGATCCAACGTAGGATAAGCCAAATTGTAGATAGTTTAGATGTTTGAAGAGTTTCCAATAAACCTGCCGAAGCCATGCGGCAGATGTCTTTGTTCTTTGTTCATTTAGTAGCTCTTCACTTTGTGTACAAATTGTAGAAGATGCTTTCTGGCAGATGAAACCACTATAAGCAGACTGAGACACGCTCAGCTAGCAGCCAAGGGAAATACCAGGATACCTGTACACCAGAAGCTATAGCTGACTGACTGACTGACTTATCACATAGACATGCTAAAGCAGTAGCAGTTGCTGGCTGCTATTTCTGTTTAATTTAGTTTTCTGCTACTGAGCAGAACAATATTTCTATTTGCTGCTAGGGAATAGTAAATGTGCCTCGTTCTGAAGTACTCTGGACTTTAGCAGTCCGATGGATTCGTAATGATGAGCGTAATCGTTGATCGTTGGACCCAAGTTGAGCAAATCTTTTCAGCATTTTCCCCAAGCGGAACAAGAAGAGGGCTTCAACTCACTTGAGGTACTGATTGTACAGATGATGCGTTAGGTTTGTGCGAAAACGCAGCTTCAGCTCGCCGAGACTCCACTTGAGGATATTGGTAACCACCGAGATCTAATGAAAATGGACGAAATAAGTTTTGAAATTCTATAGATATGGGGAGCATACGTACCGCTGGCAATGCGGCCAGATATTTGAGTAGTGCTGACTTAAACTTGGCCCGATTCATATGTATAATGGTGCTCTCGACAACTGTTGCATTCTGTATCATCCATATATCGCTGACAGATCGACCGATCAAGGCGCCCGCAATTACCATCAGCAGACCCGTTTCAATGCACCAGAATCTAGGTATGAGTATAGCTGTCACAAAAAGATTAGATATATTTAATATGCTCACATATCCCCATATATATCAACTTGAATACTCACGCAGCAGCTGTCGCAGCTGTTTGAAGAATATTGCATTCACGTGAGCCTTGTTCGACTTTTTATCCTTCTTCTCCGAGATGGTATACTGAATTTTGTCCTCATAGCTCGATTTTCTGCAAAAATGTAATCAATTTTTAAAGATTAGTAAACGATTTGAATTCATTTCAGTTTATACAAGTATTTTCAAATACTTTTCATAATCCTTAATGTTTAATCGAGAGTATTGCAGAGTCGGCAAAGCACAATTGTAATGTTCTCCTTGTCCACGAGCTGCTTAAGCTAATTTCAAATGGCGTATTAATAATATTTTATAGTGCAAAGTTCGAAATTATCACAGAGACCGGTTCATTAGTGCCGCACACTAAATAATTATGCAAATGAGCTTTTTCGACCCGAGAGCTCAAGATTAGATCTCAACTAATTGAGATTGGTAAAAAAAAATAGTACATTGTTAATAATAATATGAATACGCAATTGTGATACGAGCCCTGCTCTTCATATAATATAATAATTAACAAATAACAATTAGCAATTAGCTCTGCTGTATATTTAACAACAGGGTATGTGCAAGTCGAGCTAGTTTGTTTACCAAAAGTTACACATCGGTATGAGTATTTCTTGGTCAGGGTACCATTCAAAATAGCTCAAAAATAATGATGCAAAAGTATATTACAGGCAGCAGGAAGCATATCGAACCCCAAAAGGTATATCGTGTATAAATTCGTGATCAGCATCGCTAGCCGAGTCACTCACTGACTATTAATGAGCTAGATACTTTAAATGTTGAATGTGGTATCGTAATTATTGTATACCAGATATATTCACATATATACAACCAAGTAACGGGATCGAGATCGACTATAATTATATTGCGCTACAATGTTTTCGAATTAATCTTGTGATTCCTTATTGAGCACATTTTATATTTTCCAATCTCTTTACTTTCATTTACATTTCAAAATATATTTGAAATATTTTTTGATTTTCTTTCCACTATCGATAAATGTTGAATCGTTTTAATACGGTGGCAAGATTAGGTGGCAAACTGGCAATCTTCAATGTGCCAGGCTTGCTGGACTTGTTGCACATATCGAATTAATTTTGAAGTCAGCTAACCCAGCGTATCTAATTGCACTGCCAGTTGCCTCACAAAATTACTAATTCGACGTTCATTTTACAACTACGTGCAATCGTGTAACTCTGGACAAGTAGCTATATACATATTTGTATCTATAAATAAAATTAGATAGGTCTATTTGCAGTCGCCCAAGGTTGCTTATTCAATTTGAATGCATGTGGAAGGCATACAGACAGGCAGACAAACAGGCAGACAGGTAGACAGACAGACAGACATCATCATCATCATCATAATTATTGAGAAAGACAACTAATTAATATTGTATTAGAAAAGAAAAATAACAAAAACTTCTGACTGGTTTTTATGCGCTAACCCTTTAAAGGTGGGCAAAAGAAGAGGGTATATTGGAGTTCTGCAAAAGTATAAGCATAAAATATGTATATACATGTATATATTAATGAACAGCAGCAACAGCTGATGCGATGTAGCCTAACAGAAATGTTACTGCTACAACTACCAGAGAGCCACAATGGACATTTATTTGCTCCTGCTACTGCCCATTAACAGAGCTCCTGCAATTAACAGAACAGAGCGAAACAGCATTCTTCACTTCAGTTGCAGTTGCTGTTAAAGTTCGTAGCAGTTGCAAGAGCAGAGCAATATTGCACCTGCTCCTGCTCCTGTTCCTATACACATACTATATATATACATATGTATTATATATTCACATTGTGTATTCGATTTTGATCGATTATATTTGGCAGCTTCAGTTTCAGGTTAACTCGTTGCCGAGCTCAATCGATAATTGTAATTTGATTTTAATTGGTTTTAAGACCCGACTGCGGATGCGGATATGTATGCGGATGCGGATGCAATGCAGCCCTGTTAGTTAGCCCGGTTAAAGAGCAAACAAGCCAGCTTTGCTTGGACTGTTGTTGGCCAACTATTGTTTCGACTTCGACTTCTTCGGCATTTGCTTATCACACAATGTTCGTCGGCCAAATTCTACACATATGAACGTATGTGTGTGTGTGTGTGTAGGTGGGTGTCTGCCGTTTTATGGCAGTCCAAAGAAAGTGCAAAGCTCACTTTTCACTTTGACCTCTTCGGCGTCTACTTATCACACAAAAGCAATCGTTCATTCTTTCGCTATTTCTTTTTTGATGAGTAACGCTGATTTGCAAAATGCAAAAATATATATATACGTATATATATATATTTGTCTGTGTGTGCGTGCGTGTCCCAATAGATTTGTGTGCCGCAAAGAAAAGTTGTTGGTTTTGTCGGTGTCTTTATATACATATATGTATATGTATGCATATATATCTATAGTTGACGAGCAGCTAGTTTCAAGCTTTTGTTTGTTCATTTGTGGCGCGTTCTCGCTCACTTCTATCAGTTCCAACTCTTACACACACACAAACACATATAAATATATATATGTATTTTTATATATTCGGGGGAAGGGGGGACATTTAACACGTGTTCGAGTCCAAAAGGTCGGTCAATCGCATTTTTTTGATCAAAGCAAAGCTGTCTGGCGAATTTATATTTATTTTCATATATATATATATTTTGATATACCCTAACGTTGGCTCGTGTGACAGGGTACGCCAACAAGACCGTTAGGTTTGTAACATTTAAGTAGGCGAAGTAAAATACTCAAATATTGAAAATAACATTTTCAATTTGTAAATTTGTATATAAATTTTTCGGTTAAAAATGTTGCGCTAAATTTAGCTTAGTTTTAGTCGTTGCATTTTAATGTATATATAAAAGATTTTTATTTGATTTTAATAGAGGTGAGTGAGTAAAGCGAACGAACAAACGATCGAACGACAGAAAGAAGAAGAATGAACAAAAGATAGCAAAGAAAATGGCTCAAATAGTTTATTGTTGCTTGAGATTTGCTTGAATTTATCGTGCTTGGATTTTGTATTCTTGTTTGCTTATCGCAAATTGTTATCGATTTTGTGATAATGCTGATCGATAAACGAATTCGTCTGCAAATGAAAAGAATGGTCGCTGTTGCTATCTGATAATTGGTAATCGCTATGACAAATCAATTGTGAGGCTAAACACATTATTGAACTCCCATTGTATGGTCCAAAAAGCCACTGATTTGTGAAAAAAAAAAAACAAAAACAGAAACTGTATTACCCCTTTTTTTTTTGGGGTGTCAAAGTCTGCTTCTTTAATGCGTGACACATTTCAGCAAGTAAAGGGTACCAACAATGTGCAAAATTAGTTTACACGACGGTTTTAACACATACACACACACACACACACACACACATGTATATGTATATGTTTATGCTAGCAACAAGAGATTGACAAGTTAAGCAACAACAAAAACAAATAGGCAACTTTTCGCCGGCTGTGCAAAGTTCAACAAGGCAACATTTACTATCCCATATCTTATCGCTACATACATACATGTATATATATAAATACATTCATGCACATGTATCTCTTCTCATTCTTCATAAAATCACACAAGCGCCATCTATAGCTACTTCTTGGCATAGTTGTCAGTTAAAATAGCTGCTGAAGTATTATGCTTGCATGAAGATTGATCAACGTTTTGAATGCATTCGAATGTGCTGGCAATTTAACGCCTCAATTAACGTGTGTTAAAGTGTGTGCAAATTTAATGTGTTTTGAGTATAGGTGCAAGATGTCAAGCGCTTCTATAATTATCGAAATATCGTATGTAAATGCATGCGGTAAGCGTTTAAAAAATACACGAATGCAATTCTTTACAGTTTTACAAGTCATCTCATCTACGCTTAAAAGCTGCTATTAACAGTATTGTGCACAAGACATTGCGCAACAGCTGGCAACAAAAAAAAGTACAGTACATACGTACATACATATATACACACACACACACATACGTAATACATAATAAGTATGCATGTATGTGTACGTACCTGTAGAATGTCATGGCAAGAGAGATAAACAAAAATTATCATTCATTCTGGCGAGTGTGCGAAATCCAAAGGCGGAACAAACAAAACATTGAGACGCATATAAAAATTTAGTGCCCAGCACCATCGGATTATCTACAAACAAATAATTTCACAAAACACGAAACAAAAAGGCTTTGAAATCTAAGAAAACAACAATCGTTGACACTTTCTCTTTATTTATTCATTTCATATTCATTGAGAATCAATTACACTTGACAAACACGCACACACATAAATAAACATGCATTTGTGTGCAAGTGTGCTGATTGTTGACTGCAAGTAGCTATAACAGTCAAATGTAAACGATTGCCTACGTAGACGTCTTTGATTGCATTATAATGTTAATTACGTCTCACACGAACACAAACACACACACAATATGTATGTATATGTATAATGTATGCATGTCATCACAGACTAGGCAAACTGCCGGCGCTCTCTGTATCTTCTTCACAACACAATTCTGTTGGACACACACAACATATGTATATGCAAATTGAGAAATGTAAACAAAGCAGTGCCGCCGGCAAGTGGATTAACATGCATCTATGTATGTTTATGCGTGTGTATATATTTATTTTCGCATTGATTGCATTCGGCTGCTGTCAAAGTTGTTGCACTTTTGCATATCAAATTTGCATAAAATACCTTTTGCCACCCAACTCTCGTGTGTGTGAGTCTGTGTGTGCTTTTTGTAACTGAAAATTGTTAATGCAAATCGAGGTGTAAATGTGCAAATGAAGCGAAAGATGGGAGGGCAAAGTAGAAATAACCTGACTAAAGTGTTGCTGTTGTTAATTAACAGAGCACAAGTTCCAACCTAATGAAAGGGGACATGGAAAAAAATAAGCTAATTATCGATATTGACATGGCACACTAACAAAATATTACTAAATGCTGCAAATATGCAAAAATGGTATTCCTTCTCTCTCTCTCCCTAATGCAAATCGATCGAATTCTATCGAATCGAATATTATCGTTGCAGCTCTCTGTTACATAGCATCAGCAGATGTTAATCATATGTACATGCATGTTATAGTACTTATGTTACGATCAATATTTATATCTGATTTACATTTTCCATAGTTTTAGATGGGTTAAGGGCAAATGTTATGTGTACGTTAAGATACTTATAACATTTGCACTGTTAACCCAATAATAATTATGGAAAATAATAAATCAGATATTAATATTGATATGAAATAACAATATTATTCTGCAAATAAGCAGATATTATATATATTAATTATTTACCAGAATAAATAGAACCAATAAGTAAATGGCAAATTGTAATTATTAATATTTGCTGCGTGTTTGAGAGCGAACATACCACAATTTTCCCCACCCTCCTTTCCCACAATCAAGCACTTATTCTAATTGTTAACGTCATGCAAACAACAACGGAATTTGATCACAATTTCAATTAGTCCAAGGGGTTATCCATTAATACATGTATAAATCCACACACGTGTCTAATTCCTAGAGCAGATAACATCTTTTTATTTTTTGGTCAACGTGTATTCGATTTTTAGCAATAATATGATCCACACCGAACCCAGACCGACGGTACTAAAATTTTCTACACTGATTACACGATTAGATAATAACGCTAGTAAAATTTAGCAATAAGTGCCATGGGTTTAATTTGTCGATAGCCACTCGAAATCAACTGCCCATAAACTATTTACACGTAATTGAGAAAAAAATTATACATGCCCCTTGTACACATTTTTAATGGGTATATGCTGTTAAGCAGATGGTTGACATTCACAATAGATCCAACGCGACAAAGAGGGAAGAGAGAGGGGAGAAGGTTGGATGCCATCTTTGTACAGCATTGAAAAAAGGCAAAGCACAAAAGGGAATAGCCAATTGCGATCAGCTGAGGGACAAAAATCGGCTATCGCTTTAATTGTTATTGTTGGCGATGTCCTTGTGCTCAAAATGGGCCAATAAAACCAGTTAAGAGCCACACATCGTACGATCCACACACACACCAGCATGCACACACACACACACTCAGAGTAAACTGAAATTGAATAATTCAATGTCAGGCAAGACCTTGCCCAATGTTATTTTAACATACATATACTTATGCATATGCATGCACACACTTGCATACATACATGTGCATACAATGCATACAGCAGCTGTTGCAATGCTAATGTATAGTTAACAGTTAACTCACCTCTTGTTGTTGGACATTTTGCCATGGGCTATTATCCATAAAGCTGCCGTCATCCCCGCCACGCCGACGATGGCGCTTTGGTTGTGCGCCAATTTGCTCAGAGATGGAGCCATTTTTTCTTTCTCTTTTCGTTTAGGTTTCTTTTTTTTTTGCGAAACTACTCTTTCTCACTCACATACGCGGCAACCACACAGATTAACACACGCACGCACTCCTCACACTCACGTGCAATGTGAACAACAACAAAAATAAATATATCCTGCGTTACAGCCCTGTCTTCGACTCCTGCGGTGGAACTACTCAATATATATAAAGATATATATACACTTATGTGTGTGTTTTCGTTTTTAGCTTTTAGCGAATTTGAGCGTTGTTTTTATTATTTACATGGGTATTAATTAATAAGTAGCAACAATTGCAGCGTTGTTTTCTGTTCGGCAACTCTTACACGACGCAATTGAAAGATGGAGGTGAGAGACAAGTAATACAAGAACTGAGCAACAATTAACAACAAAACAGTCAGGTAGATTAATAGGCTGGACTTGGGAGCAACTGTGTTGTATATACGTTGCACATCCGCATTTAACAACAAAAAAGCACGTCCGAACTCCGGTGAAACAACAACAAATGTGACCATTAGAGATGGCCGTTTGCGGCTCGAAAGCAACGATTAACCGCTTATCGATAAATTTGTGCAGTGCTGTCTTGCACGTTGCTCGCAAGTTCACCAGCACTGTGTTAGCTATTTTTCTATGAACAGTGTCTGGCATCGCCAATTATCGATCTGTTTCTGCTGCTGCTGCTGCTCGCTAAACAGCTGTTCCATAAGTTTCATAGTAGCATGCAAATTCAAAACATTGGAGCACACACTGGCGCTATTTCTTGAGCGTCGCACACACACACGCACACATACACACGGCGAATTTATTCACGAGACTTGAGTGTGTGTAGAACAAACACTTGGGGTGGTACGTATACACCAATAAGTTTATTAATAATTCTTTCCGTTAACATACACATGAATATATATATATATATATATATATATATATATATATATATATATATATATATGTATATATATATATATACAATATATATAATGAATTTTGATTTCACACCTCAAAACCACAACAAATCAAATTGGATTTCAAATTCAACCAGTTGACAGCCAGCCAGCAGCAGGCAGCCACCGCTCGCAAGCACATTAGATAACCAAGAGAGACAGAGAGGGAGATAAATAATCAGACAGAAGCTCCAAAAGGTGCGTAAATAACCAAAATTTGGAGTGCACACATTGCAAATAATCGATGTGTGACAAGTGTCGGCCACACTGTTCTTGAACTAATCAGATATTGCATACGCATATGCATATGCCTGCACATGTGTACACACTGCGATTGGCAAAAAAAAAAACAGCAAAAGAATCAAAAACAAAAAAAAGAGGTTAAGTGAAGTGCGACGAGAACCCATAAATAATTTGTTGTGTGCGTTAAATCAGTCATCGTTCTGTACGCAGTTAATTTTGTTTGGCGTTTAGCGTTTTGCGTGCCGCAAGTCAATTGAATAGCGTGCGAAACGAAAAACGCGAAACGCTTTCGACACCAATTTTCCTAATCAACCGCAACATTATTATTATTCTTATTGTTGTTGTTATTGTGATTAAATGTACTCATTCTAATTGGATTTGCTGATGTGTCAATCAAATTATACAATTGCGAGCAACTTGGCACCTTCTTCCGGTTTAGTTCAATTAAATCCCCATCCATATTCATATCCATATCTATATCTTATATATACATATATTATAAGATATAGACGTATATATTCATTATCTTATCTCGTTTTGTTTTGAAAGCGGCGGCTGCAAATTCCCATTGCATAACATCCTGTTGCCAATAATCCCAATCAGATTATTATTTAAATATATTTTTACACACACATACAAACATACAGTTACTTTTTTATTCTTTTGACCAACGTGAATCGGGTTTATTTCAGTTTTTATCGATAGCGTTTCGATTAGTGACAATTAAACAGCGTTTGGTTAAGGATAGAATTTGTTTAAGAAAGCGTAAACAAACAAAGAAAATTTGTTTTTGATTTTTGTAGATATATATATATATATATGCACATTATATTGTGTATAAGTACACTGCGAGAAAAAGTGCACCTCTTGTGGAATATAAGACGGCAAGCCTTAAGTTGAACCGATTCACTAAGGAATGAATTTAGACTAAATTTTAAAAAAAAAAACCATAAAATATGAATACAAATAAAATATATATTTATAAATAATAAGCTAGCTATTTTCTGGCAGTGTAGCCAAAAATTCATTTATGCCTATTGTCATATATTTTTCCTCTTCTGGGTTTTGGCAAACACACACACTGCACACATACATTTTACATTGCGCAGTTGTACGGTTTCAAAGTACAAATAATGGCAGCCAGACCTTGTAATATATATGTATATATATATATAGTATAAGTCTGTGGCATAAGCTGAGATCTGAGACGTCACTGATAACCGGCAAATTTACTGCCCGCCCTAGTTTAAAGTCGAAAGTACAGCAAATCTGATAGCACCTTATTTTTGTCTTGCATCACGCGTTAAACTACAGACTCTGTACGCTTATATAGTACATCTTGTACATAATCCTATCTGTGCTACTATATTCTCAAAAGATAAGGACAACAGATGCCTTATCTATGCATCAATTCGTTTGAAAAAGGCGCGTTAACATTTGAGAAAGCGATCGCAACAATCGATGACTATCGATACCAATCTACTGGAGCACATCTCTCTTTGCGTTCGTCGCAGTCAAAATGTTCGTTCGGGTTTTCGCACTCAACAAGCGAAAAAGGCTATTTATGTAGTTAGTTTTTCGACGATTCGACGCCTCTTCGAATTTTATGAGTAGTGTGGAGAACCACTTTTGTTTTAATTTTTTTTTTGCATGAAACAAGAAAGCGCTCTTAATAGCTATCAAAATGCATGTTTCATAAAATGCAAAAAAAAGAAAACGTTATGCCGTATAAAGTGTAGAGTGACCATACCCTGTCATACCCATACCATTATGAGTATAATAATTAATTACGTTTTTGTCCGTTAAAAGCTCAAAAGGATTTTGTGGTTAATCATTATACACGTACACACTTATGCACACATACACATATTTCTTTCAGACTTGCGTCTTAGCACTGCTCACAGAATCGCATTTATAACCGGTTATTTGTTTTTTTTTTTCTTTTCTATAATTCAATTCGTGCGGCTACACTTTGATATGTGTGTGTATGTATGTATGTAAAATTATTTTGTTTAATCTTATCGAGCTTGATAACAGGCCCCTCAATACCCAAAAAATAAAAAGCTAAGCAGCACACCAATACCAATTCATAGAAGATATCGAGCTGGTTTTGCTGCTTGACGTGAGCTCTTATAAAATCAAGTTCAGGCACACGCTGAGATGCTCTTATACAATCAAGACTGTATTCCGTGGTTTTCTTGTTGTTGATGTTCGCGTCGACAGCGCTGCCTTGATTTTTGCACATATTATAAGCTCGCTTATTCATTCCGTGTTATGTATCTGTTTTAGCAGTGTCATTGCAACAATTAAGAGACAGTGAAGAGGACAACAACCGTTAAGATGAGTCGTCAGCTGTTAAGAGGTACATCGCTGCAGCGCGCTGCCAACGTCGTCGCTGCGACATCGAGTAGACCTATGGTCATACAGCCAGCGCATCCAATGGAGCATCGCAGTCCGCTGCAGCAGCAACAATGTAAACTAACGCCAAGCATTGTCATACGTCGCTGGAAATCGTTTCTACATAACAATAACAGCAGCGCTCAAACAGCAGCAGCAACAACAGCAGAAGCAGCTACAGTCACAGTGACAGCGACGCCACGCCGCAGTCAAGCTGAAACATTGAACGCGCGTGGTAGCCATTCACCGTTCGACGCTCCTTCTCGGTTAGTAGAAACCCACTTCCCCTCCTTGCGTTCGTTCTTCGCTTGCTGTTTTGCAAAATTTAACATTCGTGCGTGCTTTGCATTTCCTGTTAATAACAGTGTTTTTAGTGTTTGGCTAAACTACATTTTGTTTTTCTTGTTTTTTTCTGTTCTTTTTTTGTTTTTGTTTACAGCTGTATGTCGACGAAAAGCCAAAACAACATGAAATTCGTTACGATAGACAACATCAATGCCAACTTTAAGGCAATGGAATACGCGGTGCGCGGCCCGATCGTAATACGCGCCGGCGAAATCGAAAAGGAACTGTTAAAGGTGAGTTTATCTCTGCTAACACCCCTCTACTCCCCACACAGAGAGATACACATGGCATCTTCGTGTTTCACACAGTTTTGCTCATTTGTAACATGTTTTGTGTTTTGCATTCGCACATTATTTACATTTCTCGCACCTGTTATCCCTCAAACGACTCCAGCGTGTCTGTAATTGTGTGAGTGGTATGTATATGTGTATTTGTGTAAATATAAGCTTTAACTCAAAGTGGTATGAATTGACGTTATGAATAACGTTTTACTTTTTTTCTTACACGTTTCGTGACGGTAAACGTTAAAGTGGTTCGAAATTGAAATTATGACGTACAATATATTTTCCCTTCTTATTTGTAATATTACAAAGTAGTAGTAACAGCAAATCTAGTTTTTCCTATTTAAAAATGTTGGAGAAAAGTAATTTAGTGTTTTATGCGCAATTCCACGTATTTATTCCCATTATTATAGTAGCAACTTAAACTTATCCAAAAATTTGAACAATTATCGCAGCTCAATTTTATTTCCAGAAATTAATTGACCCAATGGCGAATAGGTTGATGGCTATGTACACATATCATTCTTTATAATCTTTAATTATTGTTTTTTCTTTTCCCTCATTTTTTTTTTTGCTTTTGTCGCTCTTTTTTGATGTTTATTTCAGCTCTTAAATTCTTTTGTTTATTATCGTTTCCGCTAAGCTCCTTATTATTATTTGGATTGTTCTTCTTTCTGGCCCATTGCCTAGTAGGAGAAGAGTCAAGTTCAGTGAACGTCCTTCAAAATGCCGACAGCAATTGTTCCACTGGGCATTTGTCTGCCTTTTCTTCTTCTTCTGCTGCTTTGACCTTAACTGTTACTGCTACTTCTTCATCTGCTTCACCTACTGCTGCTGCTGTTACTTCATTGCGCTTGTATAAGAGAGTTAGATAGGGAGAAAGTGGATGCTGTTTGGCATCCTTATCAAACGGACAACAGCAAACAACAAATTTGCGCATGACCAAAATAATATATATATATATAATATGTATAACATAAAGTCCTTACGCACAAAGCTACACATTTTTTTTTTGTAATATTTTATACCCATCAAAAAGGGGTATCCCAAATGTGGGTATATTGAAATTATGCAAGCGTTTATAACAGTTCAAGAACAACATCAAATTCACATCTAGCTCAAGTTTATTTCATGTTAGCGATAACTGTCGACGATACCTACAAAAGTGTACCTTGAACCATCGTTGAAATTGCATCAAGTTCAGCTGAGCAACGTAAAAGTTGTCAAAGAAGCAAGCTTTTTTGTATATATATACACACACACACACACACAGAGACATACTTCCACAGAGGGTATTTAGCCCTCTCTCTCTCTCCGACTCTCGCTTTCGACAAGCGCACTCTTACTTGTTTGTCCAGCGCAACGCAAAAAAAAAAAAATGTTCTCTTCGCATTTGTTGACGGCTGACATAAATCAACCCAACACCGACCCCAGTCCCAGTCTCCCACGCCACCGCAGCAAGCATATATTGCACTGTAACAAAGTATGTAAGCATGTGTGTGTGTTTTATTTCCCATTCGCATTTATTGTTTAGCTGAACGCTCTTCCTCTTGCTTATTTGACTTTTTACATTTTGCGATGTTATTGCTCCGTATTACTGCTGTTGTCGTTGTTTTTCCTGCTGTAGCTGCTACTGCTACTGCTGCTGTTGTTGACATTTCTCCCCCTGTTCCCCATTATCAAACTTCCTCATTCGCATTACTTTTTTTTCTCTGTCGTTTGTCTATTTTTCTACGGGCTCTTCCATCGGCTTTTGAACTTGGATTAAAGTCGAGTTTCGAAACTTTTTGTTTGACAAGTTGACAAATCGAAATGTGTCTGTCAACCAGAAAACGACAAATGTCATTTAACATACGTAAATACGTATATATACATACATACATACATACATACATACATACACACATACGTATTACATATGCTGTTAATCTTTGATTAGAGTCAAATCTCGACTTTGTGTTGCTGCTTGCTTCATACACATTTACTGTTATCTTACATTGACAGACAACAGCAGCCCCAAATGACACACTTGGCTTGACGCTATATATTTGTATTTGTTGTAGTTGTTGTAGCTCATTGTGCATATCGATAAAATCGAAACGTTTCCATCAATTTTGAAATTGGCCCTCGACCAACTGAAAATTGTTGCATTTGAACACACTTTAAGTCTCTTTCGCTTTCTTACTCTCCCTCTCTCTATCTCGCTCTCTCTCTCTCTCTCAGCAAGTGCTGAGTTGAGTGAGCTCGACTACGATATACCCTATTCTAGTTCACAAAGCCGACACACACAGTTTGTCAAGAAAGTGTTTGGACTCAGGAAAAAATCATCTTTTGTCATCTCCATTTGTTTTACAAAAACATGTATTTATTTATTGACTTTTGCTTCTTCTTATTTTGTTGTATATATGGTATATATAGCTAAAGTCTTGGGTATCTCGTTTGTCGATCTTTCTCTCTCTCTCTCTCTCTCTCATTCGACTTATGTAACACGTAATATATCCATAAACTGAAACTGGAACTGGAACCCACAACCCCAATCTGTTTGTAGCCGTTTCTCATCAAGCGATTGATTATGGACACTGTGTAGAAAGGGAAAATTATAGAATGCCATCTATTTATCCAGTTATCTCGATCCATATTCTATTCGAAGTGGTCTCTGCTCGAAACTTTATAGCTGATAACTATGGCTGTGTTGTGTACAAATATGTACATATATCATATATCATATCGGACCGATAAGTTAAGCATATGACTTTGTGTGATAAGATTTTACAGCTGAGTTAGAATTCTTAACGTTTGCTTTCCTTTCCTTGCTTCCAAGTTTCAAGTGCTTGTTATATAACAATTTGTAGACGTCAATATTATCAACTTGAATGCATAGTAAATATGAAGCTTGAAAAGGTTTCCAATATAATATATATATAATATATTGAATGCGAATTGAATTTCTATATAATTAAACTATATCAAATATATAAAATTGCAATTTTTTTTGTTCTGGAAAATTCAGTTTTGCTTAATTTAATTCGTGGTTAAAACTTTTCAACAACATTTTGGTTGAGATTAGATTAATGTATACTCCTATTGTGGCTACTATGATAAGCATATGTATATATATCTATCTATATATATATATATATATTTACACATATATATATATATATATTTACACATATATATACTGCTTTCGACAAGAAGCTTATTTTTGATGTTCTGTCTTATTTCTGCTTATACCTTGTAAACCCTGCTCCGAAGTGGCTCAACAGGCAATCGAAAGTATTTTTGATAAAGGTTGAAGTATATATATATACATATATATATATATATTCATGATCAGCTACATCACCTCAGGCGCCAAATTGGAAAATTCCTCCTTAAAACTGAAAGCTTTTCTAATTTCCAAATATATGAAAAACATTTCTTAAAAATTAGAATGGCTTCTATTGTATTTTGTCAGAAATATTTGACTGAAAAATATATATATTTCTCTAAAGTAGAATTGTAAAAAGCTACCCTCGAATTAACAAAAGAAAAAACGAAATTCTATGAATGATTTTCTAAGACTAACTATGATGATTTTCTAAGAGCTATCTGGACTAGAGCATTCATACTTCTGAAATATCTGATCTATTATGCATTCAGAGACATTTTTACATTTATTTCAATGTTTTCGCCTTGGTCAAACTTTGCCCAATGCAAACTCTGGCAAATGGAAATTGAGGGCCACATTGCAGCCAATTTAGTCACATATTATATATTGTATGGGCAAAGTGTGTGTGTGTGTGTGTGTGTGTGTGTGTGTATGGGGTGTGTGCATGTTAATATCAAATAGAGTGCATTGAGGTCGTTGTTGTGTGAATAGGCAGGGCTACAAGTGGCGCTTTGGAGTGGTAGTCGGACGGCGAACGGCGGAGGGGGAGTGGGGGTGGTTGGGGTACATTTCTTGCATGAGCAATTTCTCGCTTTTGATGGCATTGAATGAAAAGCAAATCACGAACCACACGAAACACCATCCTCCATCAGCAGACCCCTACCAATCCCCCTCCCTGCCTAACCGATGAACGTATCCAAAACAAATACAATTTCAGTCATGCAAAGCTCTTCCAAGCACAAACCGCAAACAACAACAGCAATAACCATAACAATAACAATAACTAGAGAAAAATTAACGCCAAGTTAATTACTCGAAAGTACCTGTTAATTGCAATAAGCAGAAGCCTGATTAAAAACAACAAAACAAACAAGCAAGAATTTTTAGAGCCCAAAAAATTTGCCACATTCAGTTTCGCAACATTTTGAGTTGTTGTCGTTGTTTCATCAATTTGTGAATTGGAAAAATTATAGCTTGATTTAAAGATTAAAAAGCAATTCATTAAAATGCAGATAAACAAACAATTGAACAATTAAAAGGGAATACATACAAAAATCGTTTAGATTGATTAACTTTGAATTGTATTTCAAAATAAGCGCGTACCTGGCTTGGAATATGAGCTGTTTGACACTGATTGATTGATTGATTGCCCTACTTTTTTTAACATCCACATGTAACTCGATAAATCATTGCAAAAAAAACACGAACTACTCAAAATTCGCAAAATACTTGACGAATGTTGAACTTAAGCGAATTTTGTCTCCAAAATGTGCAGTCAACTGTGAAAATTCGAGAATGTGAGAAATATTGTTAGGCTGTTGCCAAGTTTGAGTACCCCTACTCCCTACCCCCCTAATTTTTGACGCGGCTGATCAAGAACATATATGTAATTTAATTTTTTCAATTGATACTAACTGAAGCAACTCCTCCTCTTTGTGCCCGAGTGTATCTTGGTGTGTGTTTGGTGTAATTGAATGTGTGTGTTTGTGCCACGCCCTCTACCACTCCTACTCGTATTAACTCGGCAGCTATGTGGCCAACGAGCAACTAGCAATTACCATATTTGATTCAGGCACATTAAAAGCACATTAATCAAGAAATCAATTTGCGCCAAATTGTAGTCGAAAGGTAATTTGGCTAATGCTTCTCATACTAAATACATATTTAATGTTTGTGTTTATATTTGTTTTTGCTGTTTACTGTGTTTCGCAGGGCGTGAAGAAGCCATTCGATCGGGTCATTCGGGCCAACATTGGCGATTGCCATGCGATGGGTCAAAAGCCTTTAACCTATTTGCGACAGGTGAGTACACTGGAAAAAACCAAACGAAACCTAAAACAAGCGAAACGAAGAGCAGAAAAATACTCTGATATTGTAAATGAGCTGAAAACTCACCAATTCTTGTGAGGTGGTTGAGGTGAGGAGGCATTCTGATTTGCACTTATCGATTACTATCGATTTCCCAGCTGATACCCTCTGGTTTCAGAGTTTAACTACTTCTTTTTCTGTTTTTCTTTTTGTTGGCTTCTCAATAATAATACAATTTGTTTTGCGACAGCTAATGGCACTTACCATGGAGCCCCGTCTGCTGAACTCTCCCGAGTATCCCGAAGACATGAAGAAGCGCGCCCGCGATCTTCTGGACGCCTGTCTGGGCGGATCGACCGGCTCGTACACCGACTCGGCGGGCATTGAGTTCGTGCGTCGCCAGGTGGCTGCCTTCATCGAGAAGCGGGATGGCGGAGTGCCCTGCGACTATCAGAACATCTATTTGACTGGCGGCGCCTCGCCAGGCATTAAGAGCGTTCTGTCGCTCCTCAAGTGAGTAGAAAATCCCAGTCTGTGCAAGTTTACAGACAGACCAAATGCCAAATCCCAAATACTTTTCTTAATTACTGCAAATATTTGAAATACTTCAACTAATTTGACTCATAACTGATAATAGTTAATTACAAGGAATTAAATAAATACTAAATACTTTTTGGCTTTGGTTTTGCTGGCAACAAAACTATTCGAAATATACGTGATTAATTTTGTATAATTCTTGACAGTTGCACTGTGGATGGTAAGACTCCCGGCGTAATGGTGCCGATACCACAGTATCCACTGTACTCGGCCTCGCTGACCGAGATGGGCATGACGAGGGTTGACTATTTCCTGGATGAGGATAACTGCTGGGGACTCGATCGCAAGGAGCTGCAGCGTTCCTACAACGAGGCCAAGAAGCAGTGCAATCCACGCGTGCTGGTCGTCATCAATCCGGGTAATCCCACCGGCCAGGTGCTCACCCGCAAAAACATTGAGGAGATCATCAAATTTGCGTACGACAACAAGATGATCATCATGGCCGATGAGGTCTACCAGGCGAATGTCTACGATAAGAACTCCAAGTTCTATTCATTCAAGATGGTCATGAACGAAATGGGCGGACCCCACCGCACCCAGGAGCTGATCAGTTTTCTGTCCGTCTCCAAGGGTTATCTCGGCGAATGCGGCATTCGTGGCGGTTACATGGAGGTTATTAACATGTGCCCCGACGTTAAGGCCGTCCTCACCAAATCAATAACGGCACAATTGTGCAGCACCACCGCCGGCCAGATTGCAGTCAGTGCTCTGGTCAATCCACCCCAGCCCGGTGAGCCATCCTATGAACTCTACGAAAAAGAGAAGTCCGCCGTTTTGGGTGCACTGAAGGAGCGCGCCAAACTAGTCTACGATACGCTTAGCACATTCGAGGGCTACACGGTGAATCCGGTGCAGGGCGCCATGTACGTTTTCCCCAAGATCGAGATACCGGCCAAGGCTGTCGAGGCGGCCAAGGCCAAGAAGATGCATCCGGATGTTTTCTACGCATTTGAGCTGCTCGAGACGACGGGTAAGTCCACTACCACTACCTGTTTTATAATAGCCGGAAGCTCAACTATGCCCAACATTTCCTTTCCCACATTCACATTCCATAACATTTCCCGATTCCATTAAGAGTTGTAGTCAACAAGTGAGTGGCACAATTATAGCTTGATCGATTTGATTACGATTTCTCTGACTGATTGAAGAATGAATCAGTTAATTAAAATATAAGAAAGAATCGAAAAATTCAAGAGGATTTCCATTTCCATTCAATTATTATAAATTGTAGAATTTTTCTTAATTTAATTCAAATTAACTGTGGACATTTGAAAATTTGAGAAATGTTGGTGATGTTGAGTGCAAACGGGCTATAAGTCAATATATTATCCTTGATTTATCTTAATTAAGCCCTTTCCCATTTCCATTTCAGGCATTTGCATTGTGCCCGGCAGCGGTTTTGGCCAGATACCCGGCACGTATCATTTCCGTAGCACAATTCTGCCGCAGACGGACTTGCTGAAGGAGATGATGAAGAAGTTCGGTGTGTTCCACACCGAATTCATGAAAAAATACCAGTAGATCCCGTAGATGCTGCGATGGAACCGTCAGTACAAGTGGACCCTGTACACACAACGATGGATCCATCCAGGCCGTTCTCCATTAACCAAATAGACGATGTTTTACGACGCTGCAGCTTTTAGCCAACTAAATAGAAGAAACACACCATTTCGTTTATTATTATTATTGCTTATTATTTTCGTTTGCAACATTAAAAATAAAAAAAAGAAAACAATAACATATTCAAACATAATTTAGATGTATACTTATAAAAGGTTTCGTCGTATCCGATTGTACTTTATATGTTCCATATGTGTTTTATCTATTGATGGATTGGCTCGGAGTGAAAGCAGAATTGAAAGGAGCATAACTTAAATTGACAATAATGAATTGTTTGAGTAAATATAATGGCTTATTGCTTTGTTGCAATTATATGTATATTATGATATTGTTGAAAGATTAAAACAAAATATGATTATTATAGTACATCGTACAATTAAATGTCCTTACTAAATGTTAAATATATATTTTAATTGTATTGTTGTTGAAAATTAAACTACATTCACAAGTGTATACCAACTAAATTGGGTTTCAGCATGTTCAATTGGGTTTAAAAGTAGAAAACGACAAAGGTTGGTGTGGTTCGACTAGCAACTACCCTGCAACAATCACATATTCAAAATACATATGCATTCAGATACACATCGTCTAGAAACCCGCACATATGATACCACTCAATATTATTATATATTACACCAACTTTATACAAGTTGTTTAATTAAATGCGTGTACCAAACATCAAAACGACCATGCGTTTTTCTCAAGGGATATATGAATCCAAGAAGCCCCTTTATGGGTGGATTTTTGGATTCTGCTGCTAATTCGCTCGACTCGGCTCTTGGGTTCTTAGATGACACCATAATCTTAACACACCATCTAAGGATATGAGCGAGTTAGACATATTTTGATTCAAAATCAGAAAATCAACCGTAACTTGGCCATTTCAAGGGCTAACCGGATGTCCTCTGGAACAAAAATAGCCGCTAGCCTATCAATTCAAATAAAGTAATACAAATAACGAAAGTCATTGAAACAGCTAAAATAGAAGGATTTTGTTTAAAACAAGAAGTTGCTCATAGCTCAGCTATATCCTGTCAGATCCAGACGAGTCTTATGTCAAAACTGGCCAAAGGACATTTAAATTCTTACAAGCGTTGGGTTCTTAGATGGCACCATAATCCTTGAAAGCAGCTCGATAGAGTTGGTC